TACTCTATCGATAACGAAATCGATAGTAAAATCCAACAAAATATCGAAAACAAAACCGATACAAATATTGATAATAAAATCGATGAAAAATTCGATAAAAATTTCGATAGCAAAATCGATAATAATATTGGTTGTTAAATCGATTAGAGAATCGATAAAAATATCGATAAATAATCGATATTAAAATCGATAACAAAAATCTATAAAAATATCGATAACAAAATCGATAACAAATTCGATAAATAACCAATAAAAGAATCGATAAATAATCGATAACAGTATCGATAACAAAAACGATAAATATACCGATAACAAATTCTATAAAAATATCGAAAGCAGTACCGATATAAAAAACAATAACAATATCGATCAAAAATATCGATTTCTAAATCGATAACAATATCGATAAAAATTTCGATTATCATACCGATAAGTTCCGGATAAAAATATCGATAACAAAACCGTTAAAAATATCCATTATTATATCGAAAAGTCCAGAGAACATCGAAAATCTCTAAAATCCCACAATAGTTCACAGATTGAGTCTCTGTGTCTCCATCTAAATATATGCTTTTCTCTGTAATTACCTTCATTTTAATCTTTCTTCCTCTATCTTCATCTTACTGTTATCGGTATCCGCATCCTCATTTTTTCTGTATATTTATCTTGGTTTTTACTTTTATGTTTATCATTTTCTTCTTCTACATATTCCCCTTCACCTTTGCCCTTATATAAATAAAGTGTTTAAATTTACTTTGATCTTCATTTTTGCCTTCAACTTTAGGCATCTTTGTTTTTTTTTACCTTTGCCTTTATCCTTTTCTTTATCTATGTAGATACTCATCTTTACTTTCGGGAGTGTATGTGCTCTTCTCTTGTTCATAGAAGTCCTATGCATCCTTCCCTTCGACGTTTAACGGCATCATGCTCCGGGAGGTGATGCAAATTTGTCTCTTTGGCAGAATCATAAAAGCGGCACAGGTCGCTTGACCAGATCATATACAACTTGTCTCTTAGGCTACAATGGCCCGTCAAATAAATGTAATAATTGTTAGCCTATCCTTAGGGAGGTTTATGAGTAGCCTCCACCTCTTTAGATTGTACCCTCCTAGAGATTGGACTAAAAGCGTACTTTGCCAAATCAACACCAAAATTCGTAGCTCCAGATCTGGTAGACCCATCATGAACCATATTTTCAAGGGCGTTTGATAAGAAAATCAACAAAAACTACTACTAAGATCCTCGCAAACTTCATACTCGTACGATCCGTTCGAGACCAATCTAGGTTTTGGACAAGTTAACTCAATGGAAAAGTTGTGTGATAATCTGAGTCATAGTTATACCATATCCATACAGCCTGTCGGAGGAATCAACCGACAATAATATTCGCCAGTAGATACAAAGACAAGCACGTAGTGCACTCTCTTATAATGCAAATCTTCTTATAAGCGGCAGAAATGTGGATAGTTGAGCTAAGATTGTAAGGCTTTTCGACGGTTCTACTCAAGATCTATGGACTCTACCGCATGGACGACGGGTGCCGAAGATTATTTAATGACGAACTCTACGATCTTTATAATGATATGGAATAGTCCAAAGCATAAAAACATGCGCAAAGATAAGATAGAAAGACAAATACTTTCCACTATTGCATCACGTCTGAGCAGCTGGGATAAACATTTTTTCCTAGTTTCGCATTAAGACCTAATTGTCGACTATGTTTAAAAGAGATATGGATAGTTCTTACATCCTTCGCTTATATTGTTGTTTTGTATTTAGAAACTTCTTTAGTACTATTAAGATTAACCAAGAATTTATCTACCGAAACATTTCTTCTTCTTAGTGGCACTCATTTGCATTTGAAAAAGGAATTATAAGTTCTAGTCTAGGACGCCTTTTTCTTTTCCAAAGACTCTTTCTCGAGTGTGTGAACGCAAAGCCGATCAGATTAAATATTTTTCAGATTTTAATTTTGAGCACAGAAATAAATGTGGTATTTAAAGAACAAAAGTCGGCTTTGCTGTCCTGATCTTATTAAATCCTACTTCTCAAATAAGAAAACTATATACATATGTACATTTTATTTATATTTTTTGACTGTGCTGTTATTTTGACTACAGCTGTACATCTGTATATTGCATATATATTATATTTATTTACAATAAAATAAGCAGGCAAACATTTGCACAGACACAAATCCCGAAATATACATATATACACTAAATTAAGCAATAGATATACCAAAAACATGCATAGTTCATACACATAATCAGAAAAAAAAACGTTCAATGCGAAAACTAAGAAGCGATACAAACATTTCGCAAAAATAGATATGAATGTATTTCTAAATGAGTTTATACTA